CAGAATATGGCAGAAATGGAATATAATATTTATAGGTATGTTGTTGTTTTATTCATTTTATTCGTATAATCACCTGAAAATAAGAATAGTTGTGTTTTTGTTAGAATGAAACATTTTTATCTATAGAGGGAGTGGGCCCTCTACCATGGAGGCCACCATGTTGAACTGCCATATTTCTCCAGCTCAGTATTTATATTTATACAGTATTTAAACTTTAAGAGCACTGATCACATGATTAATCACATGTAGGTTTAGGGTAGGAATAGCCAATCAGAGACAAGGATTTACTCTACAGTGATACTGTTCTTATTTTTTTTTTTATCCTCATAGTGAAATGTTATTCTGTAAAAACATATTTGGATTTCATATTTTAACTTCATTTTATTATTGAGAAAGTCTAAATATCTCCAATTTAGCACTTAATGTGAAATTAGCAACAATAATATACAATATACAATATATAATATTTAATATTTATTATAATCAGAATCTGCTTTATTGCCAAGTAGGTTTTCACATACAAGGATTTTGCCTTGGTGAATTGGTGCATAACAATTAAACAGAAAAATATATATAAAGATAAAATAGAGACAATAAAAAGTGACAATATATACAAATACAAAAAGAGAGAGAATATGTACAATACGAATGCTACTTAAATTAATGAATATAGAGCTGTATAGGAATGTGAAAAATATTGTCCAGGGAATGTGCAAGTTAGCAGTGTGACACATAATGATATTGGCAATGTGCAAGCTAAAATGCAAGGGATCATAAGAAACTGTCTGAAATAAATAGAGGAGGAGGAAATCAAAGAAAGCTATAATAATATAATCAGGGTCAATTTAGTTCCACAATAAAAAGTGCAGACAGTAAAGATGATGGAAAGTGATTGAACACAAAATTAATACAAGCTTTATTTGAGTTTTTTGGACCATTGATATAAGATCCTATCAAATGTTCAAATGAAATGCAAAAACTAGACTAACACTATCTGTTCTTCAGATCATGTTATTCGAAGGCAGGGTTTGTTTGCTACAAGAAGACAGTCCATTGTTTGGTCTGTGAGGTGTTGTCCCACAAGTCATTGCCCTTACATGGTCTACAAGTCATGGAACATTTTTCTTCCTATAGCTAAGAGTGATGTACATTTGACCTGGAACTGCAAATGTCAACATGTTTCCATAACCTTTTCTTCTTTGTTTCCTTTCAGACACATTCACTCTTCAGGTTTAACTTGTGTGTATTGATTGATTTTGTGAGTTAGCTGTCTGTGTTTAGGTTTGTTTGTTTACAAGGGTTGGGTGGCTTCTGCAGGCGGACAAGTAAGTATGAAGATAAAGCACATCTATGTGTCCAACGTTTTCTAAGTGCTCTGAGTTTGAGAACCCAAGTTTGTCCTTTCATTTTGAAAACTGTGTGCTGGTAAGGTTTCTGCCTTTTAACAGGCCAGTTTTTTCCTTGCCGCTGTCGCCAAGTTCTTGCGCTCATGGTGGCTACTGTTGGTGTAATTGTTAAAAGGAGTTCGGTCTAGACCTGCTCTATTTGAAAAGTGTCCTCAGATAAATTCTGTTATGAATTGGTGCTATACAAATAAAATTGAATTGAATTGAATTGAATTGGTATTTTTCATTGATGCTGTTTGTGTATACAACACTATTAAAATGATCACTATCATCGGGGCCACCTTGACCACCATCATACTAAATGGCAGAGGTGTTGCACGATGATTGCAGTCCACAGGAAGTTATGCTGTTTAAGCCGCGTAAGCAAATACAACTGGTTTCTCTTGTTGGACTCATGAGGCCTTAGCCTTATCCCTATCTCAGTATTCATGTGTGTCAAACACCTGCCACAGTTGGTCTACTGAATACCAGTGAGACATCCAGCCCATATACTCTATTGAAAGGTAAGAACAGCATGTTTTATTCCATTGCAATAATCCTAATTCCTCTAAAGAATGAGACTATCGACTGTAATGTTTGCTTTCTACTTATTTTTATAGGTCTCTCGTGTTAAATGTATTATAATCTATAGCTGCAGTTCTGCATGTTACTTACAATCGTACTATTTTATTTGTTATCTACATGGTATGGCTACTATAATACCCATGAGCCTCAGCCGCCGTTGCTATGGAGAAGAAGCCATTCAGAGGTGTGAATCAGAGCAGTAGCAAATTCAAAACGCTTTGGCATTACAGTTGTAAACAAAATGCTGCACCATAGTTGTTGAATTCATTCAAAACTGACCCAGAAATGAAACGTTTCCTCAACAGCGTAATCTTTAGCTTCCGTCTGTCATTAGCTAACTTGACGTGGTTTGTTAAACAGAACCATCTGGGAAGTCACCCTTGGAAACTGTTTGGAAAAGGGCAGGCCGTTTCAAAAATACTATCTGTCTATCACTGCCACAGGCGGCATCTTTTATATCTGTTCTTGCTCTTTCAATGAAGCAATACTCTCAAGTTCTGATATAACTGATGCTATAGCAGCATCTGTGCAAACCACTTTAGGAGTCACCATTGTTGTTTTTGAACGCTCACTGTGTCACACCTATAGATGTATTATTATAACAGTCCCACTACTAGTTCCTCAAAAGACACTGATCCATTTGCAACCACTTACTTAACTGTGATCCGGATGCAAGCTTGAAGCCTGGCAAGATGGATTCGCAAATGATCTTGTGATTTCCTGATTTTGCAAATCCAGCTGTAAATGGTTAGTGGTGCACAGGAAAGAATTTAAACACAGTGATTTCATACAGAAATGCACCTTGGGAGTTGTAGCTAATTACAACTGATGATTTAACCGGGTGAGTTGAATACCAATCAATCCAAGCTGTAGAAGAGCTCCAACTGCGAGTCACATAATATTGTCAACGGGAAAAATGAATGTGACTTTTACTTTGCTATCTGCTGCAACTCATGATGTAGTTGTCAAAGTGATCACATCAGTTTCTTTTTCTGCTTCCACAGATGATGACACCAGCTTTCAAGAAAACACTGTGCTTAGCAACAGTAGCTGCTTTTAGCCTTATCTGCTCTGTTCTTGCATTCTTTCTGTATTTTGAGCCTCCATCCGCTGTTTACCCATTTACAGCTACATTAGCTCAGAAGGAAAATAATGAAAGTGTGACATCAAATGAAAAGCCTATAGTCCTGCTGTGGTTCTGGCCTCTTGGTTTGAAGTTTGATTTCACAGCTTGCTCTACCCACTTCAACATTGACAGCTGTGTTCTGACAGATGACCGATCCCTCTACAACAAAGCACAGGGAGTCATTTTCTTCCATAGAGATATAGACTGGTATTTGCGAAACATGCCGCAGGCTCCACGTCCAGCTTTCCAGAAGTGGATTTGGTTCCACGTGGAATCCCCGACAAACACAGCAACGATACCAGGTCTGGACAACCTGTTCAACTTAACACTGAGCTACAGAAGAGATGCTGACATCACAGTGAGGAATGAGCTCACTATCAGGAATTCAGCAACGAAAGATGACTTTGTTCTGCCCAAGAAAGATAAAGTGGTGTGTTGGATTGTCAGTAACGTCAACCCAGCCACTGGAACAGCTGTGAGAGAAAAATATTATCACGAACTGTCGAAGTACATTAAGATCGACGTCTTTGGTGCAGCTTTTGGTCACCGGTTGAGATATGAAGACTATTACTCAACCATTGCTAGCTGTAAGTTTTACCTCTCATTTGAGAACTCGATCCACAGAGACTACATCACAGAGAAGGTTAACGGGCCCCTTGTAGCAGGGACGGTCCCTGTAGTTCTGGGTCCACCAAGAGAAAACTACCACCAGTTCCTTCCCTCTGATGCCTTCATTCACATAAATGATTTCCCTGATGCAAAGTCACTGGCAGAGTTTCTGCTCCTCCTGGACAGGACCGATGAGGCATACATGCGTTACTTTGAGTGGAGGAAGTTCTACACAGCCACTCCTCATCTCCTGTCTATGAACAATGAATTCATTCAGCCCATTTGCCTCGCCTGCGACCACATGTCAAGAGATGAAGATTTCCACGTAATTCATGACCTTTATAAGTGGTACTCTTCATGAAAACCTGAAGACACCTTCCTGAAAGCAGCTAGAAGACAGTGGAGACAAAGATGCTTTTGACAGTTTATGTCCAGTATTTGCTTTGGGTCATCTGTCACGTCAGTGCTGATTCATGCTTTATTTGTTTTTCATTCACAACTTCAGTGTGGATAAAAAGTTAGCTTAGGAGCTTAAGAAGATGGATGATAGTGTAACCGGATTATATGATTTGTTTAGATACAAAGGGACTAAGTCTCTGTGACTGGTTCGTTAGTCAGTGTCATGTAATGACCTCAGCCAGTATCAGACATGTAGCTACTATTGGTTGATATTTACAACTTCAGAAAATCATAATTAAGTTTTTTAATGCTTATCTATGGGCTCATTTTGTTTTATAGTAAATTTTGCTTTCTGTTTTTTGGCATCAGGAATTTGTATTGATCAATATAGCTGTTATTCAATAAAGATGTAGTCTTTTAAATGTGCTGTTATTTTCTATTTTCTATTGCCATTTTCAGAATGCATCAACAAATACACAATCTTCATGAAAATAAATTGTTTTATTTCATTTAATTTAAAAGTTTCACATTCTGGCACAGTATTGGTTCGACCAATGAGTAGGCGGGGCATCAGTCAAATGTCATATTTGAAACAATGAGAGAAACGGCAGTTCACCCATCAGTCTGGATCCTGCAGATCTTCACGCTCACCTTCCAAGCAGCGATGTCATTTTCAGCTCCACAGCACAAGCAAGTATTTTGCCAAACTTTCAATCCACTTTACACCTTGCTGTTCTGGAAATGATTGGAGGGACATTTTGTGCAGCACTAACGATCATTTGGATCCAGACAAACTTCAAGGTTTGTGCTTGTGTTTTAGATTTTTATGGCAACCATGCGGATTTGAAATTGACATACTGCCAATGATTTGCTGAAGGAATGTGTTTCCAATTATTATGACAGGATTCTTCTTCCTTGCAGGTTTATTATGGCTTCCGCTCACATTTTAAGTGTTTTACGAGCCACTGGGATAATGATTCTCATCCTGGCCGGAATCACAGTTCTCTTTTTAATGTACTATCAGTCATTATCATCTCCAAAATGTCATCCTCCCCCAGCTCATTCACAACAGACACAACAGACAAACAAGCCTGTATTGCTGCTGTGGTTCTGGCCCAAAAACAAAAGGTTTGATTTTCAAGACTGTAAGACGCTATTCAAAATTGACAGCTGCCACCTCACAGATGATAGATCGTTGTACTCCAGAGCTCATGGAGTTCTGGTATTTCACAGAGCTATCAAAGACGACCTCTCCAACCTTCCCACCTTACCTAGAGCCAGATTTCAGAGGTGGATCTGGTTCAACATGGACTCGCCTACCAACACACGCATGATAGCAGGCATTCAAGGTCTTTTTAATTTAACCTTGAGCTACAGGAAGGACGCCGATATCCACGTTCGTTGGAAACTAGCTCTCAAGAAGAACACAGATGAAGATTTTGTGCTACCCAAAAAGGAACGACTGCTGTGTTGGTCTGTGGATAGCAATGACGTGCACACAAAATCAAAGGAGAGATACAACTACTACAGAGAGCTTGTAAAACACATCAAGGTGGATGTCTTTTACAGCTCCTCTGACGACTCCTTAAAAGGTGAAAACTATTTCCTGAATATTAGCAGCTGCAAGTTCTACCTTTCCTTTGAGAATTCAATTCACAGAGATTACATTACAGAAACGTTCAATGGGCCTCTTGCAGCTGGCACTGTGCCGGTAGTTTTTGGCCCACCGAGAAGGAACTATGAGGACTTTGCCCCAGGTACTTCCTTCATTCATGTAAATGACTTTCCTGATGCCGCAACATTGGCTGAGTCGCTCCTGAGGCTGGATAAAGATAATGAGGCTTATATGAGATACTTTAATTGGCGGAAATTTTACACTGCCAGACGGCATCTTACTGAGGAGAAGCATGAGTTTGCACAAGCTATCTGCCAGGCCTGTCATCATGTGGGCATTAACAAGGTGTATAGAGCCGTACCACATCTGTACAAGTGGTTCTTACTATGATGCCTTTAATTGTTCCTCTGTAGGGATTAAAAAGACATTATAATCATATTATACAGAGAAATACTCATTATTATTATCATTATAAACATTATGGGGAATCATATGGCAAGACCTTTTAAAAAAAAGATTTAAAAAATCTAATTTGGGGATTTATGGCTTTCCACTGGACAGTGACAATAAAGACAATGATGACTTTAATAAATGTTACTTCGGTTAATCAACAGTAGCAACAGACATTAAATCTGTATTATGACAATATGAACGCTTTGTGAGTGCTTTTAAGAGGTTTTTTTTCATTTTATTTACTTATTCTGAGGCTCAAACTCATTTTCACAAAGTCATTGTGTGTCCATTAGGAAGATTTAAAGTGTAAGTTCACTCAAATTATTAAAAAAACTAAAACATTTTCATGTTTCCCTGCTGGTTTTTCAACATGCACAATGTTTTGGTTTTATTCACCCGGTGTGTTCAGTGGATTATCCAGCTTGATGTGGATAAGAGATGTTGTTGAATTTGTCTTTAAATGTCACTTTTTAATTAAAATAAATACAATTATAAAATTATAAAAACAAATAATAAAATAAATTTTTATCTAATCACACAACACTGTTCATTAGAGTAGTGGTTCTCAACCTGGGATCTGAGGACCCCCAGGGGTGGTTGAGGGGGTTTCAGAGGGTTCCAAACATTAGGGAATGTTTTAAGTTCACTATTATTATAAGTTAGCCCAGTGAGAGAATGTATAAGAATGAATTTGGGGGATCAAAATGGTTGAGAACCTGCATTACAGTATACCTCACACTAATCAGCCAGCTTGTCCTGCCTGATTTTTCCTGTTTAGTTTGTTGTTTCTTTGATAATTAAATAACAATAAATCAGATATGAATGAGGATCTATTTTATATTGCAGACCCACACAGGCATATTCTTATGGTAACATACTTAGTTGAAGTATAGTTGTTATTTTTCATTTTTGCAGAGGTCATTTCAGAGATCAATAAAAAATATTTTTTAATATTTTGTGAGATTAAAGATTAATATACAACCATACTGTATACAATTTACTGGTTTACAGCCAATGATATGAGTCACATGCTTCCTGGTGGCACCACAACTGTGAATGAGAGTAATGACTCATAAAGTCCCACTTGGCTTAACTGTTTACAAAGTGATATGGAGTAAAGATGATGAGTAAAGGTGATCATCCTGATCTAATTGGTTGTTCAGCATCATTAAGTTAACATAATTACATCACAATTTATTTCGGGGGGGACTGGGGAAAAGGCTGACAAAAACCAGAAATGATGTCAGCAAGGGATTTCATAGGTGTTGAGGAAGGAGGGAACAAACCCCTGAAACAAGAGTATGAATGAAGGCATTCAACCTTCCACACATTATAATTAGGCCCTCTGTGTGTGCACTACTCCTTTCCTGTCAGGAGGCTCAATGTGCTGCAGCCCTGAGCAATTCAACTCCGAGTTCACAATTGAAATGTAAGTTTAATAATCATAAACAACAACAACAATATCTGTGAGTCTTTCTAAGCATTCTCAACAAAGCCAGTACTGATCCATGAAAGCTGTGTGAATCATTTGCAGTTCCAACTATTACTCCATATACAGTGATAATATACATTTTTGAAGAATCATTCGGTTTCTATGCACTATAGCATTTGAAACAAACTGATTTCTTTCTTATTGATGTTGTTTATTAAATCACCTTTTGGGCTATGTGGTCATATCTTGCACAGTAACCTTTCATTCTTCTGTTGTTTGTGTTTTAAGCCATTTCAGCTTATTATTTATTTTTCTTTTTTTAAATCTTGTGTATAAATACGTTTTATAATACCTTTTTTATGTCCCATGTAGCCTACAGACGCTTGGAAGAAGGTGCCATAAATAAAAGCCTGGCCTTACCTGTTCCTAAATTGTATTTCCTCAATAACTCACACACAGTTATTCATCAGATCTAGAACCTGTGTGTAAGTCAGTTTAACCAGCTGCTGAATGAGCTTTCCGGAGTAATTTGTACCTATAAGGTGTTTGAATGTTTCCACATGGGGGCGTGTGTGTGTGTGTGTGCGTTGTGTGGTTGTTGTGTGTGGGTGTGTGTTTTCCCTGCTGCTTAAGTACCTTGGACAGCGCCTGGCGACACACACGCGCTTCAGCAAGCAGAGGAACTTCAGCTCTCTCTTTCCAAACAGCATCCACCCGCAACCTGAACCAGTTGCTTTCCTCCTCCAGTTTTGTGAACCTCTCAAGTTCCCTCTAACCTGTCTACTCTACTTGGACCCCTGCTCGTTCGGATAACAATATTCTTTTCCAGGCGGGTATGAAGCAGTAGAGCCGCGCCGCCCTTCGGAGCTCCGAAAAGCGGACTCCTCATTCGTCCTCTGCCCGCCTCCTCCTGCTGGAGCTGGAGAGATGCCCGGGGCAGGATGTGCTCCAGCCGCAAGATCCTGTGGAGCCTGCTCCTGCTGTCCGTGGTGGAGGTGGGCCTGGGTGTGGCGAGCATCGTCCTGGGAGCCGTGGGCATTAGCGGGGTCCAGGGCAAACCGCAGCAGGGCGACACGTCCCCGGTGTGGAGCGGACTCTGTGTACGTCCTGGGAACAACTTTTGTCCTTACTTTTCCTTATTTACTTCCAGACAGGATGAGTATCTCCGGGGGTGTTGTGGAGGGTAAAAGTCAACTATCATCCTTTGTACTTATACACCTTTGTGAGGAATGTTTTTAAGGGATATTCAGAGTATAGGCTGCATCTATGTAAGTATTAAAATAAGGCATAGGCCTGTATTAATATAACTGTCCCCATCAAGAGGAAGACATAATTGATTCTGCTTTGAAATAAGGTTAATTATTATGTTTTGTTATGATTTTGACTGGAAGATTTTAGTCTACATGTAGAAGTTGTTTTTTAATACATCTCTTTTTTAAATAATTTTTTTTAAAGAGCTTCATGTTGGCACTTATATCTGTAAGGACTATAACTTCAACTAAGCTTTTGATTTGTATTTAAAAATAAAAAGTTCCGAAGGGCTTTTCTAGGGTTCCAGACTCTGTTAGATACTCATATCACACAGTTTTTGTTGTTTTTTGATGGCACAATAAAAAGCTTTTGGTTTGAGAAACACTGAGGTATTAGATAGATTTGTTGTTTATGTAATATTAATCACTAACTGGAAGTTGTGGCCCCTCCCCTTTTTTTCTACAATGTCCCATCAGTATAAAGACTTAGAATGAGGTGAAGACTAAATATTTTGGTTATGTTTGTTCTTTATCTGTTGGTCCATCAGATGTTAGAGAGACACGCAGCCATTTGTCCTACCCCATGACTCTGTGCTGGAGCTAAAGATCGGTTTCATTAATTCATGCTTGAATTGTTGCTGTGTGCTTTGGGAGGGTCAAAGCTTTTACGCACAATCATCCTCTTATTCGTCTGCATATGTCTCCTCCTGTTACAGTGCTACTCTCAGCTTCATTGTCTTGATTTCGCAGCTGAGCAATGAAAAGTTAAGTTTCTGACACTTTCAGTCGCTATATATAACACTGAATCCCCTACTTTACTATGATTGATGCTTCAGCTGGGGTAACACTTTTAGCTCTCGCTGAGAAATACTGTAAATGGCAATATGAGTCATAAAGAAACATATCAGTATCACATTTTTCCAAAGTTTGGAGTGTCTATAAAAGGTGTGTGCAAATATTTGGATGTGCTTCAGAGAGACGGAGAGAGAAAGCAATTAATGGTGTTGTAAGGTTGTGTATTTGAGTGCATGTAGTGTGTGTGTGTGTGTGTGTGTGTGTGTGTGTGCTTCCACGGGGCTGTGTATGATGTTGCTGTAAAGATGGTATGCAATGTGACATCTGTGTGTTCAACCTCACAGATGTTGAATGCTGAGTCAGCACCCCGTGTCTCATGATTACCCAAAGGTTTAGATCTCCTGTCAGGAACTGGGAGTCATTAAGACGGTCTGACCGCTGTCCTAGAAGTAGATTGGATATCAAACCTTATAGATCCTGCTGAAACAGGAAAGTAATCCTCATTTATATCTGAGTACATTTGGAGTTATACAACTATTTATTTACACATAGGATTGCTTATATGAGTTCTTTTAATATTGGTCCAACATACCCGGCAACTATTGATGACTGGAAGATCATCTGTAACATTTTTGACCTGATCCACAGTTAGTTTTGAGGGTGTCATTTCTAAATCAAAACCCCCAATTTGAACCAATCAGTCCTCAAAGGTTTGGCTTTAAAGGCAGATAGAAGCTTGAATTTCAGACACCATGCATTGTACTACATCTACAGCTGTCAAAGATATAATATTTCTAAACAGATATTTATCTGTAAGTAGTGGAATAAATATAATATTTTAAAAGTGAAACTGAGACACTCAAATTCCGATTTAAGCTGCTATTTTATGTCTAACAATGCTATTAAAAAACTACCTGAAAGTAACTCAAGTTCAACTGAAATTAGGGTGATTTTAAGGTTCTTCAAAATTAATAATAAATGAATATAAAACTAACAAACTAATATAAAAATAGATTTTAAATTAAGCCAACAAGTGATATCACAACATCCCTTTACACACACACACACACGTCTTTCAGCAGAACAATGCAGCTCACAGCCCAGTGTGCTGTTCCACTTGTAAGTGTACTCAGAATACACCACTGTGCTGTTCCAGTTCAGTCTGAATCATTGACATCCAGGACAATATGGCTTCCTGCTAGAAGCCCACGATGACGCTCTATTTTTAGAAGGAGAAAATTGCATCTGAATAACCGAGTGTAAAGAATACATTCACCCTTCCTGTTGTCAAGACGGGGAAGAGGGAGTGATAAAAATAGTTTAGGTTTCATATATTTTTTTTAAACCAGTAATTTAAACTAACTACAACTTTAGAAACTGTTCATTTACTCATTTGTTGTTCTCTCTCTCTCCCTTTCCAGTTTCTGGTCTGTGGGATGTGTGGAGTGCTGTGTGCTCGAAAGAGGACAGGTCTTATTGTAAGTACATGCATATGTTTAGTTGTTTTTTTTTCCTTAAGACCCAATAGCCTATTTTGTTGTCCTTTGTTACATGTATCAAATTGTGGTCTTTTTCTGCAGTATGCAGAAAAGACTCTCCAATGATGTGACACACAGGGGATTCAGAGTTATTAAAAGAGTCGTTTTTGGGGTAATTTTGGGAAAAGCCTACACTTATTTGTTTTCTTCCCAAGGTTTCAAAATTCTCCTTTCACCCTTTCTATCTTGTTTGTTTGATCTGTACAAAAAACAAAGAGTATGTGCCCAACTAACTTGATAAACTCCTGGAGTCTCCTCTCGTTGCCTGGCAACTGGTCCAGGCCAAGAAATATCCCATCACATAGATACAATGTGCTAATTAGGGAACTTTTAGGGGTGCTGATAGATGGATTTTGTTACATTTTCACCATTGATAGTATAATTTGGTTTTTGATGGAGCGAGGCTAGCTGTTTCTAGTCTTTATGCTATGCTATGCTAAGCTAACTGGCCACTGGCTGTAGCTTTATATTTAACGGACAGGTGAAAATGGACTCAATCTCCCTTTGCTTGTCCTTTATTCTAACTCTCATCTTTAACAGATTTTGCTTGAATCTCAAGTTCTTGGTTGTATCAACTGTAGGCAACCAGTGGCTCCAGAGCTGCATGCAGCTCTTTAGTCCCTCCAGTGGCTCCCTGTGGCTCTGACGAAAATTATGTGGAAATGAATATTTTAATGATTTTCATTTATCATTGTTATAGGCCTAAAGTAATTCTTAATTCTTAATTCTCCGGTTGTAAAAATAAGTAGCCATTACTCACTTTTACAACAGGAGATAATTTTTTTAAAAACATTTCATCAACTAAAGTGGCATTATACATTACATCCTGACCTTTTGCCTTTTCCTCTATATTTTGCCAAACCTCAATAGCGGTGGATACTGGTTTAGAGTCTCCCTATCTTCGTGCATGGATCGATTTGATGGCTTTCTCCAACATTAATGACTTACTGGTTGATTTGCGGTGACATATTCGCATTTTAAAACCAAGTATATTCTTGCTTTATAACCACACATTTGCGCCACATTAATTTGTGACTGCACAACCAACACTCCAAACAGACACAGAATACGCAATGAACACATAGTTAAAGCAAGTATATCTTTAATCCAAGGCTCAAATATGTTTTGCATTTTTTGGCTCTTCTCATAGTACAGGTTGCTGACCCTGTATTAACCCAAAACAAATCTGCTCAGATTAAGTAAGATTTGATTGGTGGGTTTTGAGTCCCATTAGTTATAGAGACTATTTATGTTGTCACTGTCCTCTGTTGCAGACTTCATAATGCCAAAGCTAACTGGAAACAAAATTCGGAGTAGAATCATTTTCTAAAAAGGCATTTGGTGAGGCAGATGAGCCTTTGAGAGATGCTAAATATGAAACCCAAATCATCATTCACTGCTGTGTTGTTCCTTTAAAAGATAATTTTTTTTTGTTGCAGTAAGTGTGCGCTCTGAAGGATGCAAATATCTGTATGCTCTGTGTCATGAATATTTACAACACACACAAGGTCTGCCTCATCTACCCCTGAAAGTTTCCAAGTAAAGTCTAATCTTGTCAAACACCCAAAGGTGCATGTGTGTGTGTTGTCCTCCTCTTCAGCAGGTGCATACAGTGTGCTCTGAAAAAGACATCTGAGGAAACCAGAGGAGACAAGCAGTCACCTCTCCTCTTCTCTTTCTGTCGTTCTTTCCATCTTTTTTTGCCTGGCGATCACCTCGCAGTCTCTCTGTATGTCAGAGTCCTCGTGTTTCTTTCTGTCTCTCTCTGTCTCCTGCGGGGAGGGCACTAATGATGGATCAATGTCAGCACAATCTGCTGTAACAGAGACATTCCTCAACCTTTCTCTCCCTCTGTCTCACCCTATCCATCCCAACCTGTTGTCTATTGTCGCCCTTTCTATCATCATGCCTTTCCCTTTTCCATCGCTCTCATCTCTCCACGTTCTCTGCTTACTCTCATCCTCACAGTCATTTCGATGCTCTGACTCTCCATCTTCCTCTCCTCATCTCCTTCCCTCCCCTCCCTCGTTGTCAGCCTGTGGGGTGATGATTGCATTAGGTTGGTTTGGCTCCGGACTCCTGTCAGCCGCTTTCCACACTTCACCGGGTAATGACTGAAATTGGAGATGCCTTTTTTCCATGCAGTTAAAGGCACTAAAGGCATCTGTGCTGGGAGCAATGAAAGAGAACCTGAACTCCCAGACACAACACACACACATACATACACAATAAATGGAGTGGAATTGAATTTATTACATTTTTATTGTTCTGATTGCAAAGTAACAGAACTGCATCACCATAATATCCTGCTGGATTCTCATACTGGGTTTGAGTTTTCCAGCTGCTGATTACAATTCTAAGAAAAGTATTCCGTGAAATGTGATTGATTAAACACTGAAAGTAAAATCAGAGACACAGAAATACAGCAACTGAGTGATGCAAGCATATTTACAAGCTGTGCAATATTTCTGGAAGAGACAGTGTGCTTTGAGAGCGATCCAATTTTCTAATAGGAAATTAGATTTATTTTGACTGATACGCATTACTCATCAGTGCAGCCGGCGTCCAAAAAAACTGCAGAATGATGGAGATGAAAGCTCAATAGTAGTTTGTATATCACCCATGTCATCACATTTTGTCAGTTTGTTTACAGTTTTGTTGATAGGATATCAATTTGGCCGGTTTGCATTAACATAAACCATCCTTTCTGTCTCCGTCCCTCAGATGATCCTATTTTCAGCATGCTGCATCTGTGGTCTGATCGGTGGAATCCTCAACTTCCAGTTTGTTCGGGCGCTGAACAAACGACACGACTCCATGCACTCGATCCATTTGGCTGCCATGACTCTGGCCTGTCTGGGTAAACAAAAAATTGATGCAATGCATGTCTGCTTTATGTGACATGTCTATGCTATCATGATATAGGAATGTTGTTGGAATATGTCTTTGCTCAAATATCTAAAGGGTCTATATTCAAAGGTTTAAAATAAAAGCAAAACAACTCTTCATTTCTCCCCCATCAATACTGCATATTATCCTAAAACTCTTATCTTATCTTAATCTTAATCTTATTATTATGAACCCCACTCATCGTAGCTCCACCTCTATCACGGGAGATGCCATAGTCAAATGTTCTTCTACAAAACAAGTCTAAAATTTGTCTCTTGCTCCTCAGAGTCTGCAGTCATGCTAGCAGCTTTGTTAGGCTGTACTTAAGCACAGCAGTGCTTTGAGCTAAATGCTAACATCAACATGCTAAAATTCTCGAAGGAGTTGTGCTAACATGCTGATGTTTAGCAAGTATATAAATGCAAATGTCATTTGTTTTGCATGTATTTGGTTATGAAACAAAGTAGCGGACTAATTAAAATACCTGATAGTGACACCAGATGAAAAGTTAAGGCATCACCTTAGAGGGACACGAATGTTTGTACCAAATTTTGCAGCAATCCATCCGATAGTTGTCGAGACATTTCAGTAGATAAGTGAAAACTTTGCCCTGCTGGTGGCATAGAGAAAAAGTCAGGGTATCACCCAAGTCAATAGAATTCATCTTCTTGGAATCATGAACGTCTGTACCAGACTTTCAAGGCAATAGTCGTTTATATTTCAGATTGGGCAAACCAACCGACCAACATACCAACATTGCCACCCAGATGCATGTCACTAGCATGGCTTACAAAGTATACAATACTACTTTGAAATAAAGAATTCTTCCATTGTTACTCCAGCTGCTTTCCCTTTTTCTGTCTTGTCCAGGGATCTCCTCCTGTACTTTATCCACGTGGCTGACCTGTCGTCTGGCCAGCTCTGAGCAGCAGAGGATGTTCCTGGAGCGGGAACACTCGTTGCACCACTCTCACGAGATGACCGAGAAGGTAGGACAAGAGGAAAAAGATGTTTCATGACCTCAGTAGATTTAGAAGTTGGTGTTTGGGTGATGTTTATTAAGATATCACATCTGTTTGTGTGTCCCCTAACAGGAGATCCTGGACAACTCCAGTAATGGCATTCCTCAGATTTCCTACAACGGACACACCACACCACCATCACCATGACGACGCATCACCAAAGGCGACTTGCACAAACTTGAAACAGTGACAGTTCACGAATTGCTTGCTGTCAGAAGAAAATACAGCATGTACTTACATATCTTGCGTCATACACAGTAAGTATATCCTGACTGCAGGGAGTAAAACCAGGTTCTTTCGTCTTGGAGCACTTTTTCTTCACCGCTGTATAAGAAAGACATTCTGACAAACTGCTTCTGAATAATTATGCAAACCAGGATGGAGAGCTGCCATTTGGTTGATAATTCAGGTGACAAACATCTGTGTGACATCATCTGACCTTTAAACTAATGAGCGGGAAATGGATAGATTTTATCCAATCGGATGCCTCAAAGTGATGAGCACAAACCAAGCATGCAGCTGATTCACTTGTTTTGAAGAGCTACTGCTATTTCAGTCTCAATGTCCTTATTCTTCTCTCTGTCTTGTTATGGGTTTATGGAATGCAGTGTCAAGATAGCCTACAGTAAACTGTACGTATTGTCTGATAATGGAATGCTTTGACATGAAAATACAGTGATGCGCAATGTACTGTACTGTATATCCATGCTTGTATATCAGGAATCTAGCTGTACCTATAAATCAAACATATTTTTATAAATGCTTCTTTCAATTAAAGTATGAAAAAGTCTGAGTGATGGTTTATCCTACATAGATTATTTCAGTGGAATTTAGTGTTTGTTTCTGTAAGTATGCCAGTGTGTGTGAGTTATTGCTTTATTAGCATTTTAATCCATACACTAAACGTTTATTTTTCGAAAAATGCGAGAAGAAAATCATAAAAACCAAGTCTACAATATCACACACTGACAACCAGTGCACCACACTGTCAATGTAGAGCATGATTTATAAAGTATGTGTGCCTATGGGACCGCAGTATAACACAGTGATGCCTCTGGCTCTGCTTGAGGTTCACACACTCCTCGTAAAGTTAAGCGATGAAGTAAATCTGTTTTATGTCAGCTCTCAAACCTGTAAATATAAAGCGCTTCACAAAGCAAAAGCAGAGACATAATGAAACAAGAAAACAATATCACATACACTCACATGCATGCACACAGACAGACAGACACAGCTGTGACCTCTATGAAGATCATAAAATTGCTCCTGACAACTCACGCTTCAATACCTCTATTATGGTGTTTCCTCTCCAGACAAGCACCACACGTGTGTGTGTGTGGTGTGTGTGTGTTGGTGTGCTGGTGTGTGGCAGCCGTGGTAGGCTCTTGCTGACCTAAGCAAACCCAAGTCACTATAATTTCCCCAACGTCGACAACAGACCAGGAGTGCGCCCATGGCGCCCAAGCATACGCCACCCCCGATAGTGCACAGCTGCACACAGTGTGTGTGTGTGTTGTTGTGTCGTGGGTGTACCAACACGAACTCAAATGTGAACGCTGTGGTGCTGCACTGTCAGAAAACAGTAACACTAGATTTTTCTGTGTGTGTACACGTGTGTGTGAGTGTGCATGTGCACTAATTGCACTAATTGACACCTGAGGTCACCCTAATGATCTTAATGTGTCATTGCAGGTAAGAACAGGATACAGAATCAATGACTGTCTCTTATGAGATGAACAGCTTAACAGCATCCTTGCAAGGCTTGTCAGAACACAACTTTTAGTTTACATAACAAAGGGCATGTTGGAAAGGAAATGCAATCATTCTCAGTGGTTTCAGTAACAGGAAAGATGTATGTCAGATATTAAAATACACCTAAAGAATGGGAAAAGCTTTCTGTCAGAATGTGGTTTATTACATAATTAAATAGACTGCCTGCACTTAGAGCACTGCCAGATTACCCTGCTGGGACTGCCCTGTTGGTCCCCTATCAATTCCTCAACCCTCTCATTCTCTGAGCACTGTGTTCAGTATCACTATCTGGGTCCCAGATTTTCTGTCTCCCTGATTAAACACAATATAATTGGATTACATGCACCAAGTAGGCCCAGCATCACCTGAAATAATTGTATTAAATCTGGTCCCTGAAATAGTGTAATTAGGCAGTACCCAGTTTAAAGCCCCTTACTGTGTTAGTTTATATTGCACTAGTGCATATTCTAGTCCTCCCAAAGTTACAATTAATCGCATTAGCACAAACATACTGTGAAACTCGGGCTTATAAGTGTTTGCACCTTTACTACTGTATGCTAACTCATGGTGACTTCTGAGTTCTTAGACACTGGTGTAATTTAAGTTTACTTGAGTACTTTAATTTTGGGAGACTTTAAATGTTTTACTTCAATAACATGCCACATTTAAATGCAGCTACATGTCACATTTTGGATTAGGATCTGTCAAGCAAATAGAACAGGTCAAAAGATATACTGTTATATTTTTAAAACGTACTGCAAGAGCATAGAACATTTAAATAAAGCTACATATTTATGCATTATTAATTTAACTAAGCCGATTAGTCTTAAAACTACACAAGTTGTACATATGTTTTGTTGATTTGCTTACTTTTTATTTATACATAATAGTTTTGCTTTTCATCATCAAGTCAATGTTTTTGTTTATATCTGTACATATATCTGTAATTTATTAGATATTAGATATTAGATATTAGATATTAGATTAGATATTATCTTCGTCTGTCATTCTACCTCCTGGCCAGCAGGTGGCGACATAATCAAATGTTTTTAAGGCTTCAACAGCTGGTTGAGCCAACCTTCCTCAAACCGGAAACCGCCTGTCTTTGCTCTTCCGGTCTTCCGAAACAGTATGGCGAACCTCGAGCACGCTGAAGACGACCAACAACATGTGAAAATGTCCGGTGAAGTGTCCGCCGCCAGTGCTCAACACCAGTCGGCCGAAGTGTCCTCCGTACCGGGCAGAGACGCGGGCGCGGTCCCGTGCTCTATCCCGTCGTTCGCAGCCGCCTCCGGGCTGCTGTCAGCGCCGTACTCGTGTCTGGTCATGAGCACGCACCGGAGACACATCTGCCTGCCGCCCATGTACCTGAACAAGAAGAGGACAGGTATACAGGAGGAGCTGGAAGCCGAGCTGCTCCGGTTCTCACAGAGGTAACAACACTTTTATTTGACCTTTTTTTTTTTTTAGCTTTGTCTGTGTTCTGCTGTGCACACAAGCCGATGTCAACCATTCCTAACATCATGGCAGGTTTAATGTGTGTCTGTGTAGCCGTCTTGGAAACAGTCGAGGTTTCTAGTTACTCACCCAAGTTTCCATTTGTTTGAACAATGCCTGGTTCTGGCAGTGGCAGACATTTTGGATACAGACCTGCACTCTGTTGTAATTGTGTGCAAACAGGATTTCAACTGTGTGTGTTTAGTCTGACCATCAGTGTGTGTCGTATTGTTCTCTACAGCTAACTCGCCCTGTTTCCCTCCTGCAGTCTAACAGGAGTCCCTTTGGCGTATGAAAACATCAGGATAGTGAGCCAGCATGGAGACATCTTCGACGACAATGGCTACATCCACATGAACATAGAGGCCAACTTTATTGTCTTTCAGCCCAAAAAAGGACAGAAACTGCTGGTGAGTTTGACATTTACAGCGCTTGGCAGGTGCTGTTATCCAGAGTGGCTTGCATTACGTTTTGGCACAGTACAGTTCACTTTTGGCATGGGTCTTGGCCTAGCTGTGATTCTCTATATAAACAGGGCTTGGGGGAAAAACCTCTTACAGTCCCTGTGTAAACAAAATGATATGCAGTGCAGTCAATTCATGTGATTAAATATTGATAGGACAATATAATTAATGTTATAGGTGATTTGTTGGAGCATATTATTGGAAAATAAAGTGTAAAGTACCAGGTTTTTGTCTATTTTTAATTTGCTATATTTGGAAAAAATACCAACCTGTGCGAACCAAAAAACATGAGGAAATTCTTGACCTGTTTTTTGGCCCACTTTTGGGTGTGTTATTTTATCTCCACTGTGTTTCTGTTTCCAGGGTACAGTGAATAAACTAGGAGTAAGCCACGTGGGCTGCCTGGTGCACGGCTGCTTCAACGCCAGCATCCCCAAACCCAACCTGGTTTCTGTGGAAACCTGGCGCGACGCAGGGCCGAGGATCGGAACAGAGCTGGAGTTTGAGGTGACTGCACTCGACGCTGATGCTGTGGGGGTGCTGCTGATCAGAGGACGACTGGACAGGACCAGGCAAGTGTGCTGGTTGAGGGTTTTTGTCGGGTCCACGCTCCACCGTCGCAAATTACGGACACACCTACACTTGATGCAGGACTGTGCTTGACCACATCTTTGTGATGTACTTTGAAATGTTCTAGTTAAACTGAACTTCCGAACATTAGCATATTCAAGATTTAGCTTTTTTTGCCCCAGCATCAGTGGCAAACTTTTCTTATTGGACACGAGCAATTTTCTTCTCGATGCAGTGTAGCCGACAGGGTACGCCTGTAGTTTGTAGCTGGTGTCTTGGTGCATGTTAAGTCTCCAGAAAAGCAGCAATTTTACTACATTTGCTCCCCATCATCTATCTGTAACCTTTTTTCTGTCTACTTGAGTTTGCGCCTATGCAAACTGAATAATAACAGTTTGTTCAATACATTTTAAAAATAATATCAGAAGTTTTTAAGTGGAAATGCATATTCATTAGAAATCTAACTTTAATAACATTGACTGTGATTGAAAGTTTCCTTAGTCTGACCATTTTCTGTTGTAGAATATTTTGGAAAGCACATTTCCAAACCCTTGATTGTTTACTGTTTTTCGTCCGTGTGTGTCTCAGGGTGCAGGAACTGCTAGCTATGGGTGAGAGTTCAGAGTCCGGCTTCACCGCAGACCAGCCAGAACCACCAGCAACTGAGCCGGAGCCCAACCCACAATCCACAGAGGAATCTCCCGTCGACACCCCGAAGAAGAAGAAGAAAAAGAAGAAAGACAGAGTCAAAGAGGAGGAGATAGAAGAGGTCGTCCCAAATACACCCCCCTGCCAATTGGATGGCAACAAAACACCAGAGCTGAACGGAACAATGGAGGAAGCAAACGGCAATGAAGCTGGTGAGAAAAAGAAGAAAAAGAAGAAGAAAAAGGAAAAACATTTGAAAGAAGAGGAGGAAGAGGTTGAGGTGTCCCCTACGGAGGTCCACACCAGTGACTCCAGTGGTTACCTTAGTGACAAGCCAAACAAAAAGAGGAAACATGAAAGTGGTACAGATGTCACATCTAGTTTAAGTGAAGATCCTGAAACACCTAAATCAAAGAAGAAGAAGAGGAAAAGCGATATTGAGCAGTTTGCCTGAAAAAAAAATGTGTATTCTGCTTGGAAATCAGGTTAATTGTGTATAATAATTAAGGAATATACTGAGGTGCCTTAACAGACAGTTTTTTAGCAAAGCAAGATCTCCGGTTGGTTCTTCTGAGCTGTTTAATCATTTAAACAGAGGGTCAGACTTACGAAAGCGCCTTTCTACATTCACATGTTGTCACTTGTGGGAATGCTCGTGAGAGGATGAAAGCGGTCCTCAGTCCTCGTTGGACTGCAGTTCCCTTAAACTGCCTGATGGGGGAGCAAAAACGCTTCATACAGCCACTCTGGGACACTCCTGTCAGGTCAATCTCACATGGTGCTGAGAGTAAAAGGCCAGGTTTTTGCTTTGAATTTATGGAACCAAAACATAAAAAACAGAAAAGAAAAAAACATAACTTGATATAAATCTTTGTACCTACTTTGGTACATTTTCTCCTGCTTGGATACTAAAGGCTACACAACTGAGACTGCCAAGCTCAATTAAAGAAACTTCTCTTTTTCTCTTGCCTTATGTGCCTCTGTGCAGTCTTTACAAGGGTTGTCTTGGTATATCTACAATGGAAGGAGAGAGTTTTTTTTTTTACAGCCAAATATTTGGAATTGCATCATTTACTGACAAATGGTGCAGTCATGAATTATTTGTACCGTTTCACTGTTTTCTCTCAGTTTCGCATTGACAGTTTTCACATGAAGGTTTGCTGTCTGTCTTTGGCTGAAAACAAGCAGAAGTGGACATTTAATATCCAGTTTTTCCTAATTAAAGAGCTCTATATTTTGACATGTTTGCGCTGCTTCCATTTTTTTCATTTAGAGTAATTTAAAATGCTGTGATTTTCAACATATTCAAAGGAACAGCTCTTTTGAATGCAGAAGGGGTCCTGTGGAGAACTCCAGTTTGGAAATCTTCAACTCTGCTTTGGTTTTGAGAAAAAAAAATATTCCTGTAATGATTATTAATCTTGTTTTTCATGCTACATTACCTCCCACAACAAAGACTTTAATGTTGACCAGTGGGTGTAAAGTGATGAAGTGCTGAGAGACAGCCTAAAGATCTTTGTGTTTTCTTTAACCCCCCCACCCCCACC